TCTTCCTTCCAGTACTTCACATTTTAATCTAGGCATATTAGCGTATCTTTTTTTGAGCAATATTTTGCCATATATTCATCAAAACATTTCCACTCCTTTTTTAATTTTTGATTCGACTGATTTCTTATTATTGCAGTTAATTTTGCCAAAATTAAATATTCATTTAGTTTACAAATCCATTCCTCCTTTGTGGTATAGTTTGTGACTTCCACCTAGCAGCAATAACTATTCTAGCAGCTGTACTTGCATATAGAAAAATTCACTCTGCCCCCCCCCCCTTGGTAGCAGAATAGTTACTTTAAAAAGCTTAGAGAGAAGCTTAGAAATGCAGCCTGTTGGAGTAATGGTGTTGCTCTGAGTGAAACCCCACCCCCTCCATCTCTAACAATAGATGGCCACAATAGACTCTAACAGTTTATCCTTTTCAGTGTTATTGAAGGGACATTTGCTACATACAATACCTAAAAGCAGCTAGTTCTGTACTGTCAAATGTGGGGAGGCACAGACCTTGTTGGTTTAGCTAGGCCATAGTCTCAAAAGAAAACGAAATCATTTGAATGATGCCGTTTTCTGAAATTATTATTTTCTCCATCATCATTTCCACTAAGGATCCAGTCCAAGGGAACTTTTGCAACACAAAGTTGTTGTTGTTGTTGTTTAGTCGTGTCCGACTCTTCCTGACCCCATGGACCAGAGCACGCCAGGCACCCCTGTCTTCCACTGCCTCCCGCAGCTTGGTCAGACTCATGTTTGTCGCTTCAAGAACACTGTCCAACCATCTCATCCTCTGTCGTCCCCTTCTCCTTGTGCCCTCAATCTTTCCCAACATCAGGGTGTTTTCCAAGGAGTCTTCTCTTCTCATGAGGTGGCCAAAGTATTGGAGCCTCAGCTTCACGATCTGTCCTTCCAGTGAGCACCCAGGGCTAATTTGCTTAAGAATGGATGCGTTTGATCTTCTTGCAGTCCATGGGACTCTCAAGAGTCTCCTCCAGCACCATAATTCAAAAGCATCAATTCTTCAGCGATCAGCCTTCTTTATGGTCCAGCTCTCCCTTCCATACATCACTACTGGGAAAACCATGGCTTTAACTATACGGACCTTTGTTGGCAAGGTGACGTCTCTGCTTTTTAAGATGCTGTCTAGGTTTGCCATCGCCTTTCTCCCAAGGAGCAGGCGTCATTTAATTTTGTGACTGCTGTCACCATCTGCAGTGATCTTGGAGCCCAAGAAAGTAAAATCTCTCACTGCCTCCAACTCTTCCCCTTCTATTTGCCAGGAGGTGATGGGATCAGTGGCCATGATCTTCGTTTTTTTGATGTTGAGCTTTAGACCATATTTTGCGCTCTCCTCTTTCACCCTCATTAAAAGGTAATTCCTCCTCACTTTCTGCCATCAAGGTTGTGTCATCTGCATATCTGAGGTTGTTGATATTTCTTCCAGCGATCTTAATTCCAGCTTGGGATTCATCCAGCCCAGCCTTTCGCATGATGAATTCTGCATATAAGTTAAATAAGCTGGGAGACAATGTACAGCCTTGCCGTACTCCTTTCCCAATTTTGAACCAATCAGTTGTTCCATATCCAGTTCTAACTGTAGCTTCTTGTCCCACATAGAGATTTCTCAGGAGACAGATGAGGTGATCAGGCACTCCCATTTCTTTAAGAACTTGCCATAGTTTGCTGTGGTCGGCACAGTCAAAGGCTTTTGCATAGTCAATGAAGCAGAAGTAGATGTCTTTCTGGAACTCTCTAGCTTTCTCCATAATCCAGCGCATGTTTGCAATTTGGTCTCTGGTTCCTCTGCCCCTTCGAAATCCAGCTTGCACTTCTGGGAGTTCTCGGTCCACATACTGCTTAAGCCTGCCTTGTAGAATTTTAAGCGTAACCTTGCTAGTGTGTGAAATGAGTGCAATTGTGTGGTAGTTGGAGCATTCTTTGGCACTGCCCTTCTTTGGGATTGGGATGTAGACTGATCTTCTCCAATCCTCTGGCCACTGCTGAGTTTTCCAAATTTGCTGGCATATTGAGTGTAGCACCTTAACAGCATCATCGTTTAAAATTTTAAATAGCTCAGCTGGGATATCATCACTTCCACTGGCCTTGTTATTAGCAGTGCTTTCTAAGGCCCATTTGACTTCACTCTCCAGGATGTCTGGCTCAAGGTCAGCAACCATACTATCTGGGGTGTACGAGACATCCATATCTTTCTGGTATAATTCCTCTGTGTATTCTTGCCACCTCTTCTTGATGTCTTCTGCTTCTGTTAGGTCCTTTCCACACAAAGTGGTGACCGCCAAATCACTGCCAAACCTACAAAAACCTGGAACTTGTCTGGCATGCTATTATGGATGTCTATTACTCACATGTTGCAGCCAGCAGCTGAGAAGTGAACTTCATCTGGCCAGCAAAAAGCCCCTCTTTGTGCATGGTCTCAGGGCATTGAATGTCACAACTGCCTTGGGATTGCAAATCTTGGTGTATCACATGGTTCATCTTCCTCTAGTTCCTGTTAACTCAGACGGGATCAACAGCTCCCCTCTACACATCTCTTTCATTTGTAGTCTTATCCAAACACTGAGCAAGTCTACAAGGCCACTTCCCTGTCGTCCCATCATCTTGGAACTGCCTGACACAGCAAACTGATGCTTAAAACCATCAGACACCAAACCCGTCCGCTGTCATGCTGGGCTGCAAACTGCACTCCTTGAAAGGAGGGATGGAATGAAGTTTCTCAGATCAATCGGAAAGAATTTACCTGATCCTGGCCCCATCAAATGAATACTGTTCTCAAAGCCACCCCACCAGTCATTCTCAGAGTAAGCAGGTTCCGAGAGCAAGCAGCAGCTGCTGCTAAATAGGCCTGCAATATATAGTAAAAACACAAAGCCTCAAACCCTTTTGGTTACACTGTGACAGCAGCTGAAGGCACAGAAATCTTTTTTTATGAAAAAGGAAAACTTATTCAGACATTTCCCCACAGAAAGATGCATGGGAAAAGATTTATTACCTTGAGATAGCCAGTCAGAAGTAAGATCAAGAGAATCAGAAAATTAGAGGAAAGAGAAAACTATGTTCTCCACTCTCTGAGAAATATATTACATAGTATAAGACAGCTTCTTGTGTTAGCCAGTGGATCAGCTAGCTGGAGATCAGATGAGTGGCAGGTCAACCTATTCCAGGCGCTTGCCATTTTGTGTGTGCAGGAAAAACAAGTCAACAATGTCTCATTTAAGGAACTATCCTGGAATATTCACATGGTTTGGCAGAAGAATTTATACTGATTCAGGAAGAAACTACTTTAAGGATTAGCTTGGTAAATTCAATACTTGCCAGATTCCCCCCCCCCCTTTGTTCACCCATTTGCCCAATGTATGTATATATGGGAGAATTACAAAAAATTCATTCAGGAGAATAATGATTTGAATTTTTGCTGATGTAGGTATTCTTTGCTCTCTCACAGATGATTCTCTAGAATTCAAAACTGAAACAGGATGTACTACAGATTGCACCTTAGGGAATTACAGTTTCACCACAAGTGAAGGTGATTTTATACTGAATTTCAGGGAGTGCTGCCATCCTATACATTGCTTACAACAGTTCGGTTTTCGTAAGTATGTGTGTATTTGTATATATCCTTGAGAATAAATAGTATTCAGGCTTTAGGGGTTTTCCTTGGCTGCCCTTAGACAAATGATATCAAACAGATTGCACTGGAGATCTTAGATGAAACGCAAGTTAGATTACAGCTTCCATGTAGCTGGTTAGAGGACACAAAAGGTGGTACCCATGATACCATTTAGTAAGGAACAATGTACGGTAAAGGACCCCTGGATGGTTAAGTCCAGTCAAAATAGACTATGGGGTGCAGCACTCATCTCGCTTTTCAGAGTGAGGGAGTTGGTATTTGTCTGCAGACAGCTTTCCAGATCATGTGGCCAGCATGACTAAATTACTTCTGGTGCAATGGGACACTGTAATGGAAGCTAGAGCACATGGAAACATTGTTTCCCTAGTAGTAACTCCATCTCTGGAACACCAGCTACAGGGTGACATCCTGGCCCTTCTAATATGGTGTTGCAAGATCCCTCAACCATGACCTTGGGGAACAGAAAGCTGAAAACCTTCAGTAATGCTTCCCAGATCAAATGAAGTAAAGTGAAAAGGACTTTTCCAATACAGTGGTACCTTCATTTGTGAACTTAATTCTTAAACTGAGGCTCGCTTTTACTAATGTGGAATCCCCCATTCGGATTCGATTCACTTTCCAGGGCAAAGTTCACCAGACGGAACAACCACATCCGGTTTTGCAGAGGCCGTTCCCCAAAGTGTTCGTTAACTAGACTGTTTGCAGACTGAGGTACCACTGTATTTTCAAATTAATGTGTATTTTTGAAAACATGTATTAAAAGGTTTTATGGATCAAAGTTCTGACTTTGAAAGGTTCTGCTTGAAGAACGAGAGAAATTGATTTAAAAATGCATAAAATGTTACTATAATGGGAAACGAAAGATGAGCTGGTTAAATCTGCAATGACACAAGGGGCTAAAGATCTAGGACATAATATAGAAATGAATGTATGGGAAAGTTTATGGGGAAATGATATGAAATGTCCTGCCTGTTTTACTCTAAAAGGAAATTACAAAAAAATAAAAAATTGTATAGATGGTTTTTATCACCTAAAAATTGGCTAAATGTTGCAAAATATTGTTGGAAGTGTAAACAGGTACATGAAACTGTAGCAAAAGAAAGAAAGAAAGAAAGAAAGAAAGAAAGAAAGAAAGAAAGAAAGAAAGAAAGAAAGAAAAGTGCTGAAACCGTGTGCTGATTTTAGTTATTGCTTTTCACAGGGCATGGACGTAGGTTAAATGGGCAAGAGTGTCCACCCTGTATTCCTTCTCTCTCAGAAGCCTGTAAGGGCTCAAAGACCATCAAGTATTATGATAATGAGACTTCGTGCATAGAATTTGTTGTTGCTTACGGTAAGTAGCACTGCCAGCCAATGAGGTGGAGACTGTCAGGAAAAAGCAACAAGGCAAAAGCCAGCTCCAGATGGCTGGAATGCAAAACAGTGCAGATGTACTGTTGGAGAAAAGGTGGAGCCTATTCTCTGTACTGAGCACCGGATGTTAGCTCAGAGTGTATCATATGACCTGTACTGGAAGTACAGGGGAGGAGTTGAGACTCTTCTGATGGAGTCTGAAGGGAACAGTCACATTTCTATGTACTGTTGAGTGACAGGAATAAAACATGTAGAAAGACTCCTGTCTGTCTCTTCTTCCCCTCCCTGGGAAGGAATGCAGGGAGGGAGGAAGGAGGAGGGTGTGTCCTGCTCACGTTTGAGGAGGATCGCCGGTTTGTTTACCTAGCCTGCCGGAGGTCGCAGACGGACGGTAAACATCCAGTATCTCGCTCAATTGCCTCGGGGGAGGCCAGGTACCTCTGCCTGTGGGCTGAAGATACTGATATATGGCAGCCTTCGGATGGTTGCGATTCATCGGACATCTGCATGAGAGGCTGGTGGATTGTCCTCCTCTGCTCCAAGGGAGAAGGCAAGCGTCTGAAAGAAGCCAGAGGCTCCACAGACAGCTGGTGGAAAGAAGAAGTGTTTTTCCAAGCAACGGAGTTCAAGGTATGCTGCTGCATTTCGGGCTAAAAGTGTGAACGCAGTCTGATTAATTCACTGGTTCACGGGGAGCTGCGTCTTGGAAAAATACAGCTCCGGGAGAAGAGGCCTGCATTCCACAAATTCTTGTGGTTAAGATAAGATGTCCTATTGAAATGCATTGTTGCTAAGTAACGGAAAGATGGAAAGTTACTGGCAAAGGGGCTGGACTGTGAGTGTAAGCCTGGGAAAGCGAAACAAAATCAGAGAATGTTTTGGCTACAAGGTTTACGAGCTCTTGGAAGGGACCTTTCATAGCAGCCAGAGTTTAGCTGCCAGGTGCAAAAGACCGTAAACAACTTGCAGTTTTGCCTGCGTGACAAAGAAAAAAACAACTGTTGGATTTTACAGTTTGTTTGACAGTGTGAGCTGGAGGCTTGGCTTCAAGATGGATGCCAAGAAGGGGGGAGATTTGCCTTACCCATCTCCCCTGACCAGAGACAGTTATTCATCAGGGTCTGGATGGATAACTACCCCAGAAGGGGTGAGCCTGTTAAGTTAAAGCAGAGTCTCGTGCCCAGCGGAAGGATGAGGAGTACGTGCTGCATACTCTATATTGCTTTATTCACAGTTCAAAGCTGGTATATTACAGAAAGACATCTTGCCTCTGCCGGAGCAGAAAATGCATCCTCTCTCCTCGACAGCTCGGAGAGAAACACACAGTGAAAAACAGGAAACCAGTGTACGTCACATCCAGCCTCCCTTTCCCGTGAGAAACTCCAACAGTACAGACAGTACAGACTGTGGAATGTAAACACCTGTCTCGTGACAAGCGCTTTCGCTGCACAGTGAACGAAAGCAGAAACCAACATCCTCCCCCTTTCTGTGAACATCACTGGGCAGCGTGTTTGTACAATATCAGTACAAACCCAACTTCTGCACATAGGTACAGTGTTGATTCCTTGATACAATCTTGGACAATACATCAGCAGGAATTTCATTACCTGGCATATAGGACACCGTTACGAGTCCCTTCTGAATACATTCCCTAGCATGCTGCAACTTTAATTGCAAGTGCTTTGTGCTTTGCTTACAACCTTCAGACTTCAGCAAAGCCAAACATGCTTTGTTGTCCTGGTAAACCTGGATTGGACATTTGACAGGAATTTTCATATCTTTGCACAATTGTACTAACCATTCACAATCCTTAAGTGAATAAGACAGTGCATTGAGTTCGGCTTCACAAGTACTTAAGCTAACTGTTGTTTGCTTCTTGCATGACCAATCAAACAGACTCTGATTGTACATGTAGCAAACTCCAGACGTACTTTTCCTGTCTGTAGCGTCACTTCCAAAACTTGCATCTGCAAATATCTCAAGACCACCAGACTTCTGATTGTTAAATCTCAGTCTGTAATGCATAGTGCCTTTCAAATACCGTGCTATGCGTTTCAGAGCTTTCCAATGCTTGACACTAGGATTGTTGACTTGTCTGCTTAGCAAATTACAGCTAACAGCAATGTCTGGTCTTGAACATCTGGCAATGAAGTTTAGCTTGCCTAGCACACTCCTGTACAGTGTAGTGTCAGAAAACGCTTCTTCAGTGTCATCTACCTGATAACCTGTTGTCATCGGTGTGTCTACAGGGTTAGCATCCATCAGATTTAGTTTGCTTAACACATCAGCAATTTTCCGTGACTGGTGTACTAGAATGTTACCATCTTGATCTCTCTCTATTTCCAGAGATAGGTAGTTGTTTACCTCACCAAGATCTTTCATGTCAAAGTGCTCTTTCAGTTGAGCTAGGGCGTTATTGTACATTGCGACATCTTTCCAAAAGAATAATAAATCATCAACATAAAACAAACAGTACAGTTTCTTTTGCCCCTCCTCTTTGACAAATACACATGGATCAGCTTTCCCTTGCTGAAAACCTAGAGAAAACAATACTTCAGTGAGTTTTGTGTGCCAACACCGTGCACTTTGTTTGAGACCATAAAGGGATTTCTTCAGAGCACAAACAAATCCCTGTTTTACCTGTACGCCATCAGGTGGAAGCATATAAAGTGATTCATCTAGAGATCCGTACAGAAAAGCTGTATTAATATCATGGTGACTAATGTGTAGATTTTCCTCTGCAGCTAGCTTGAGCATAAGCCTAATGCTTTCATATCTCACTGTGGGTGAATAGGTCTCGTGATAGTCTTGACCTGGTACCTGTGCAAAACCTCTGGCTACCAATCTGGCTTTGTGTCTGACTATCTTGCCATTTTGATCTGTCTTCGCTTTGAAGACCCATTTGCTTCCAAGCAGTTTCATTCCTGGAACTACTGGAACTAGCTCCCATGTTTTGTTCCTTTCTAAGGAATCAAGCTCAGCCTTCATGGCATTTAACCATGGCTCAGCTTCCTTCGAATCCAAACCCTGGATTTCTTGGAAACTTGAAGGTTCAAATACCTTCTTGGAGCTTTTAACAGCTGTTACTGCTATCGTAGCAAACTCATCAGCAAATCTCTTTGGAGGTTTGCCTTTTGTGGCTCTCTGTGACCTACGAATTAGCCTTAAGTCTTCAACACTCTCCTCTTCCTTCTTAGGAGAAAAACGACCTATTGTGAACAATGGTTCCTCCAATTCTTGATCAGAGCTTTCAGAGGGTCGCATAGAGGCTTTCGCACTCTCGAAATCCTCTGAATCACCCGATTCAGTTTCAGATTCAGACTCAGAACCTTCATCAGTGGGTGTGGGTTGTTGTGGTTGCTTTTGACTATCCTCAGTCTCATCACCGTCATCAGGATAACATTGGAAAATTCCCACATTCTCCCCCACTTTGCATTGTACTCAACACTTCTCGTGAGCTTAATTGTCTTAGAGTCAGTCATCATTATTCTGTAAGACCCTTTCTGATAACCTAGAAAGATACCATGCAATCCACGCTTGTCTAACTTGGAGTTTTGTGGTGAGCGAACCCACATGTCAGAACCAAAATCTTCATGTGTTTGATGTATGGCTTCTTGCCAAACATCTTCTCATAGGGGTACAACCAATCGCTGAAGATAACCTGCGATTGTAACTGTAAACAAAACACGAGAGAGATTCGGCCCAATAACTCTCTGGAAGATTGGCATCATGCAGCAAGGTTTTTAACCCTTGAAGCAATGTCTGATTTGCCCGTTCCGCAAGTCCATTCTGCCATGGCGAGCGAGGACTAGACAAATCGTGTTGAATTCCTTTCTCAGTCAGAAAAGCTTCAAACTGCTGAGAAGTGAATTCCCCCCCGCGATCACTGAAAAGAGTCTTTATCTTCTTACCATGCACATTTTCCAACCAAGCACAGAATTCCTTGAACCTAGGAAAAGCCTCCGATTTCTGCTTGAGATTGTACACAAAAATATATCTAGAAAATGCATCAATGAGAACCATGAAGTATCTATTTCCACCCAAAGAGGGCGCTAGTGGTCCAACCAAATCAGCATGAACAACCTGGTATGGTTCTGTAGCTTTCCTACTAGACACCTTACCTTTCGCAGCCATTTTCACCTTGTTTGCTGCGCATGCTTTGCACTTCATGTGGTACCTGCAGGGTTTAATAGTCATACCTTCAACCAAGGCAGGCATTTTAGATACTGCCTCAAAATGCAAATGACCAAATTTTCTATGAAAATCGTGAATACATTCTGCATGCAAACTTTTGTTAGAACCTGCAATGCAACAAGTGTCATCCTGCACCACATCATCATAATACAAAACAAACAAACGATCAACATATTCTGCATGCAATACATAATCATTTTTCTTTGTGATGATGCACTTCTTGTTCTTGAAGGAAACGTCAATGTTCCGCTCATTCAGCTGTCCAACGCTGAGCAGATTATGTTTGGCGTCTGGCACGTAAAGCACATTCTGTATCGATAAGTCCAAACTGTGAAGAACAACAGTTCCGTAGCCTTTACTGGGAATAGTGTGGTCATCCGCCTGGTGAATCGCACCTTCCTGCGGTGTAAAAGACACAAACAGTCTCTTATCGTTGCACATGTGGTGGGTCGCCGCTGAATCAACAACGAAGAAAGATCTAGACGTCTTCTGGACCTCTGCAACCTTTGGAGTGAAGCGTGAAACCATAGCCTTGTGCTGCGTTGTCCTAGACACCGGACCTTTGCCTTTGCCTCGGCCTTTTCCGCGCGATGAGCTTTCGCTGCGCTGCTCTGTCTTGGCCCTGGGATGTCTGCATTCCCTCTTCATATGGCCTAGACGTCCACACGAGTAGCATTTCACTGCCTTCAAAGCTTTGGCGCCATCTGGTGGTTCCACTGCACTATGGGATGACGTCTGTGAAGACTCCCCCCTTGCCCATGCAGCTAGCACCCCGGCGATCTGCTTCATTTAAAATCACAGCAGTAACAAAGTCCACTGTCAGCTGAGCAGTTGGTTGCACAGCAATCTGGGTTGCAACAGACTCCCAACCTGAACCCAAAGATTGTAGTATCATGAAAGAATACACAGCCTCTGGAAAGTTGAGTCCTCTCTGTTGCAGCTCATGTCTCAGATTTTGCATCTCCATCAGATGTAAACGCACATCTCCACCTTCAGCAAGAGCCATATTATGCAGCTTGTTAAAGTAAAACATAGTGGATCCAGCTTCTGTCCTTAAGTGAGCCTCTCTCAAAGCGTCCCAAATTTCTCTGGCTGAGGTCTTATCACGCAATAGACAGAGCTCTTCTGGGGATACTATCAATGTAAGAGTTCCCCTTGCTTTGGAATCCTTAGCTTCCCATGCATCTGTAACTGGAACTGGGGGTTTCTGTAATCACCTCAAACAAACCCTCTTTCCGCAGAATTGCCTCTGCATACAGAACCCAGTCGGCATAATTTTTCTTGTTGAGCTTAGGAATCCCACAAGCATCCTGAAGGGCCATCATGACTCTGGCATTAGCCTTCAGCGTCATATATGCTGCTTTAAATCTTGCTGCGTCACTGCTGCAGCTGCCTTATTACAAAAGCGCACTTAAAAGTTACTTTCGATTTCCCCAGCATAGTGACTTGTGCCTGGGAGCCTTTTGCCTATTCCCGGCAAAACCGGCTTTAAAAGTTCAAAGTCCAGCCATAAAGCCATTAACTTGAAGCTGGCAGGCTGCCCGGAGCAGTAGCACATACCTCATCAATCACCTCTACGCGCAGAGCAGATTCCGTTCCGATCTGTCCCTCTGCATTCCGATCCTTTGCCGGCACTCCGATTCGACTTCTGGAGCCCATAACCACGTGTTAAGTTAAAGCAGAGTCTCGTGCCCAGCGGAAGGATGAGGAGTACGTGCTGCATACTCTATATTGCTTTATTCACAGTTCAAAGCTGGTATATTACAGAAAGACATCTTGCCTCTGCCGGAGCAGAAAATGCATCCTCTCTCCTCGACAGCTCGGAGAGAAACACACAGTGAAAAACAGGAAACCAGTGTACGTCACATCCAGCCTCCCTTTCCCGTGAGAAACTCCAACAGTACAGACAGTACAGACTGTGGAATGTAAACACCTGTCTCGTGACAAGCGCTTTCGCTGCACAGTGAACGAAAGCAGAAACCAACAGAGCCAAGATGATGCTGGCCAAGTTCCTAAGAGCTCAACGAAAGCTGAGGAGAGCTTTGACCCCAGAGGGGAGAGTGCAGGAACTGTGGCTGTTGGAACTGTTGGTGTTCCTGAACAAGGTGCAATGGGTGTTGCTGACAGGGGGAGGGAAGAACAGAGTTCAAATCTCCCCACTGATGATGCTACTGGGAAGCATGGAGTAGCATTGAGTGCTGTCCGATGCTACAATTGTGGACAGACTGGGCATCTACAGCGAAACTGTAGGAAGCCGCGCCAGTCAAGAAGAGCAAAGAGCAGCTCTACGAAGCCTGAGGCGTCAGGCAAAAGCCGTTCCAAGTGCCAGGTGAAACCTGCAAAGGCTATGATGGCGAAAGGAACCACGCCAGATGTTGGGAACTCCTTCATAATTGACATGGGCGCCATGGTTCATATGTGCCCGCACAGAGGACTATTTTCGACGTTGAGGAAGCAAAGCTTCACTGTGAAACAGCCCAACGGTCAGGAGTTGGAAGCAACCGGAATTGGGACTGTGTATCTTGAGAGTCTGAACTTGACTATAAGTGATGTTTACCTGGTTCCAGAACTGAGATTTAATCTGCTGAGCGTGTCGCAGATTGCAAAGAAAGGACTGAAACTGTCCTATGATGCTAAAAGCTGCAAGATCTACAAAGATGGAGAACTGTTTCTTACTGCCAAAGAGAAAGATGGACTGTATTTGTTGACTTTTGATCAAAGTGATTACATGAAATGTGATTCTTCTGTTTATAACAAAATCTCTCTTGCAGGTGTGACCAGTGTGAGCACCAGGAAGGTGACGAAGAAGGTCGACAGAGCATTTCAGTGGGTGTATGCTGATGTGATTGGTCCTCTAGAACTATCTAGAGGCGGTGCACGATTTTACCTTGTGTGTGTGGATTGTTTCACTGATTATTCTTGGGTTTATATGATGGAGAAACCGCAAGAAACTTTAGAAAAGTTTCAGGAGTTTTGTGACAAGGTTAAAAGTATGCATGATGCTAACATTGATTGTCTTTTCACAGATGACAAACACGTTTTTCTGTTACAGAAGTTTCAGAAGTTCCTGGATGGAAAAGGGATAGACCACAAAGTTGCAGTTTCGCAAGAAGCGTGGAACAGGGGTGTGTGTGTGAGAGTGAACAAAGAATTGCAAAAGGGGATGAATGCGCAATTGCTGAGTTCACATTTGCCACATGAATATTGGGCCGAATCGCTAGCGTCCTATCTTCATGTGTGGTTGAGAAAAGTCTCAACAGAGTTGGGATGTTCTCCTTTTGAGAAGCTGTTCAATAGAAAACCTTCTGTTGCCTATTTTAAGGTTTTCGGGTCTCATGTGAGAACAGAAGCTCCAGGTGGAGTAAAGAATGCCAGAGGCATTTTTGTGGGTTATGAAAAGGGTCTCTACAGAGTAATTTTGTCTGAATCTGGTCAGGTGATTCTCACAAAGTTCCTAGAGAGTGCTCCAGAGCAAGAGCGGGTAGTACAGACATTTCCCACAGGATACAATTCAGATGATGATGATGATTTTTCTGATGTCACAGATTACAGTGGTACTGACGATGACAATGATAGCTCAGAGAGTTCAGTTGTAACAGTCATTGAGAGGAAATCTCACACAATGGATAGACCTTCACAGATGAAGGAAGAACCACTGATTGCTACTGGTTCTCAACAGAGTCCAAAGGTTGAACCAGTGAGCACAGAGGATCAGCACCTCATACGCAGGTCTGAGAGAGTTACAAAGGGTGTACCACCAAAGAGGTACTCAAAAGAGTTTGCTAACTTAGCTGTTGCATGTGCTGCTATTGTTAACAACTCAAAGCAGGTTGAAGCAGTGTCTAAGTCAGAGACAAAGACACAACAGAGGGTAGCAAGCCAAGGTAATGCAGAAGCACTCATTCCTTGGAAGCCAGACAACCAGAGAGGTACACTGGTGAAACCAGTGGTGGGGAGTTCCAAGGGTGGAACTGAAACAACAGGGGACTGTTATATGTATAACAACTGTTTGTTCTCTTCTCTGGATCATGTTTTGCCAATTGATGCTTTTGGGGGAGGATGTCAGGAAAAAGCAACAAGGCAAAAGCCAGCTCCAGATGGCTGGAATGCAAAACAGTGCAGATGTACTGTTGGAGAAAAGGTGGAGCCTATTCTCTGTACTGAGCACCGGATGTTAGCTCAGAGTGTATCATATGACCTGTAATGGAAGTACAGGGGAGGAGTTGAGACTCTTCTGATGGAGTCTGAAGGGAACAGTCACATTTCTATGTACTGTTGAGTGACAGGAATAAAACATGTAGAAAGACTCCTGTCTGTCTCTTCTTCCCCTCCCTGGGAAGGAATGCAGGGAGGGAGGGGACTTCCGGGTTGGCGCCATCGCCGAATGGCGGACTCCCTCCGAGCTCCGGAGGGAGTCTGCTCGGCAGGGGCTGGGTCCTACCGCGCCGGCGACGCGGGGACCCTTAAAAACCACGGGCACGGAGTCCGTGGACATGGGTGACTCGGCTTGCACCATTAGCGCCTCCCGACTCGTGAAGGAGCCTTTTAAAGGCTTCGGATCGGGTGCCGGGGAGCGGCGTGGTGCTTTGAGTCCTCTGCTTTCCCTGCCGAGCGCAGCCGCATGCCATTCGACGGAGAGCGCTGACTTCTTCCATTGAAAATTTGGACTATTAACAACAACCCGTGAGTAATTGGGAAACCGGGTTCAAAATTTCGGATTTGGCACGAGCGGGGCGATTTAAAAGGAAGTCAATCCCCCCCCCTACTGTAAGCATTCCAAAACAAGGACTGGGTAACCAAGGTCCAAAGGGAAGTATATTCTTGATAAAAACCATTAATTTCACGATGGGAAATTATAAGAACTGTGCTGGAGGAGAAGAGTGGAGGGTGAGAAGAAAATGCAACCCCCCTGGGAACCGGGGCGATTCGTGGAGCCTGGTGAAGAGAGACGGAGACTTTGACAGCTGTCAAAGTGGCTGTCAAAGTTGGAGAATATAAAGAGGACTTTGTTATGAGGACTTTGCCGGTTAATTTTGCTACAATTTGCTACAATATGGATATAAACTGTTGGAAAATAAGCAACAATTTGACTTTTGGATTAGAGGATACAAAGTTATTACAATCCCCTAGAGGGGTTTCGGGATATTACAAGAACGGTCGTAAGTGGAAAAATACTCTGGGATTCGCACAGGACTTGTTATCTTTTGGGAAAGCTGCAAAACTGAAATAGTATTTTGTCTACAGAGGTATTTACATTAAAGGAGACAATAGAATTTTCTATTGAAGAAAGGAAGGGACTGGACGTAAGTTTTTGTTCCTGAATAACAAACCTCTGCAGAGATACCAGATTTCTGAATTAGAAAGTTTTAGCAGCTGAACAGGACAAGAAACCTGAGAAAGTGAGGAAAAGAAGAACAAAGGACTGATTACGACACGGAAAGAACAACGGGAGGAGTGGTAAAGATCAAGGAAATTAAAGGCCTTTGTTAGATTGGACACTTGAACTTACATATTATTAATAAATTAAAAGAAAACCGGCAAGATGGAATCGGGGAGATTTGGTCATGAATTGAGACTTCCAAGCTGATAATGCATAGACTGATGGATATGGGGAATTCAAACCGGGGAAGGGGGGGGGGAGATTTGAAATCCAAAGGCTGTGTAACCATCTTTTGAATTTTTCTATATCTTTTATTTTTTATTTTTTTACATAACTTACGCATGTCATTTTATTTTGATTGGACGTGTTTAAAAAAGGGAATTCGTGGAAGGAACTGGGGTGGATCTTGGGGAAAATCTTTTTCTTTTCTTGTTAATGATGTGGGACGGTGGTAAGATTTGTACAATTCAATTTGGATAGTGGGTTAAACAAATTAAGCTTCAAATTGGGAGTGAGAGCTTGTAGAACTAAATTAAGGAAAGGGGAATACAGTCGGGGGGGGAGGGGGGAGTCCCAGAAAGTAGGCAATGAAAGTAAGGTTTTTAAATATCTCTTTTTCTTTTTCTTTTTTTTTCTTTGTATTTTTATATTTTTGGAAACTTTAATAAATATGATTTAAAAAAAAAAAAAAAAAAGGAATGCAGGGAGGGAGGAAGGAGGAGGGTGTGTCCTGCTCACGTTTGAGGAGGATCGCCGGTTTGTTTACCTAGCCTGCCGGAGGTCGCAGACGGACGGTAAACATCCAGTATCTCGCTCAATTGCCTCGGGGGAGGCCAGGTACCTCTGCCTGTGGGCTGAAGATACTAACAGAGACAGGGTGGTGGGCTGCTCTCTTGCTCTGTTTGTGGCTTTCTGCCAGAAAATGCACTATTTTCATTAACCTTTTAAAAGTAAAATCAGCCATGGAGCCCTGATATGTAAAGCAATATTGATGAAGATGGGCCCCTGTCCCATAACAAAAAATGGATATTTCGTTTTCCAAATTTTAAACATCTGTGTCAAATTTTTCTCATGAACGATTCTGACATGCTTTCTATACTTGCTCAATACACTCAATAAAACGATCCTGCTCTCTCTGTTCTGCACACAAACTCACTTATTACTACCCAGGCACTCATGTGAAAATGTCTCTTTTTCTTTACTAGATGACAGTGCAATTCCTAACAAGCATTTCCACGGCTGTGCATCACCAATATTTTGTGGAATGGCCAAGAATTCAATGCATTTTGATGCCCTTTCAGGCACTATAACCAGAGCACGATGCAGTGATACTCTGCCTCCCCTAGAGCAGCTCAACTTTGAAGAGTAGTTAGGAGAGAACAATGTCTTCTTCCGTTTGAATCCCACTGTTTCTTGCAGCAGTGGAGGTGGAGGTTGCTTGCCTGGTTGTGGGAGAGGAAGAGTGAGTACAATTCACAGGACTCCTATTTGGTTTTTAGTGGAGGTTTAATGGGATGCACGGGATAGAGAAGCTAAAGCAGGAATGAGGGTCTTGGCAGCTCTGTCTCATGATCATATGTTATTAGAGGAAACACACAAAATGTGGTATTTTAAGTGCAGAATATTATAATTTCTGTACTGCAATTAGGGAAGCATGAGGGGAGAAAGAAAGCCCCAGATTATTAAATGCAACTAACTTGTGTGTGTGTGTGTGTGTGTGTACACAAACACCTAAAACAATAAATGCAACTTTATAATAACAAACATTATAAAAACAAAGGTTAAAATACATACATACATACATACATACATACCCTCCAACATTTCTCCAGTGTAAGCAGAAACATCCTATTCTGTTGTTGTTGTTGTTAGTAATAATAATATTAATATTATTATTATTAATAATAATAATAATACCCCACCCATTATTTATACCCCACCCTCTCTGGGCAGCTTCCAACATATGTAAAAACATAATACATTAAAAAAAAACATTAAAACATTAAACATTAAAAAAAAAACTTCCCCAAACTGCAAACTTTATCAGACAATCAAAGATGAAGTATCAGGTCATAGGTGAAAATGGAGAGAAGAGAGGGGTAGATCTTTATTTTATTATTAATGTTATTATTCTTATTTAAAGCCTTCAGCGACTTAATACCTGACCCCTCTGGATTAAAGAAATAAAAGGATTATAAGTGAGGTCTATTAGAGGAAAGCTGGAAGTTTGTGGGGAGGTAAAACTTCATGTGTGATGTGGCGCAAGGCTCATAAGGAAAGGATTTATATATAAAACTGATGATGTCACCACACCAGTATAGAAATATATTCTGTGACCATAAGGGCTGCCATATTTTTTTTAAAAAAATCCAGACATTTTGACAATTTCTGAACATTCCGCTCAGACACTAAATCATGATGTTGAAGGCAACGGAATAATTACTCTTTGAAGAAAGGTTATCAAATCTTGGGCATTTTTGCATAGAGGAATTCAAAACAGAGTTTAGAAAGTGTGTAAGATTATTCATGTTGTGGGTGAAATGGATAGAAAAAACGTTTTCTCCCTCTCTGAGAAGTCTAGAACTTGTGGCCACCCAAGAAAATGTTGGAAGATTCAGGACAAATAGAGGAAGGTGATTTTCAAAGCATGGGATGTTAAACTATGGAGACCACATAATTAAACATGTAAACTTGGCTGGATCGAGGACTGCAAACAATTTCCAGCACCACAAAATGACTTGGAAGATAAATACCTGTAACCACCAAGTATAAAAAACATATTTCAACAAAATCAACAAAGCACCCTAAGAATAACTTCTGGCAATTCCCTCCTACCTATGCTGTTGGGGGCAGTATGGGTCTGAATGTCTGTTGTGGGAGCTAGTAGAGTGGGGAGAGTGGTCTTGCTCTCAGGTCCTGCTTTCAGGCTACGTACAGGTATCTGGTTGGCCACTGTGGAAACCGTTTTCTTGCCTCAAAGTGGTGATCACCCAGTGTATGTGCTGAAGATTAGTTTCATAATGTATCTGCTGAAGAAGTGTGCTTTCATAATTTTATCTCATTTGAGCCAACTGCTCATGTGGCTGAGTGAGGGAAGCCAGAAGTAAGAACAGGTGAAACTTCTGTATGTTTTCATTATTATTAATATTATTAATTATTTCTTCACTTCGAAAGGCAGAGAAAGGGTCAAAGTCACCACTAATCACCTCTCTGTTGCTTTTTGAAATCAAAATGTTGACCAGTGGTGCTTTTGGGGCCCCTTTCTACAGGAAATGAATATTAATTTGCTGTATTTTAATCATAAGGGCTATTTAAGGATTGCTGGGTTTTTAAAAAAAGATTATAATTGAAAATGAGGATTAAAAAAAATGTTGGAACCCCCAGAAGGAATGTGATGTTTGAGGAAAGGAAGAAGTGGTTCCAGCTGCTTTGAAGAAGAAAGTTGGTTAGTCACCCATTTATTTATTTATTTAAAAAACCTCTTTCTCTCTTAAATTTTAATTGTGTTATGTTAAACTGTTCATATATATGCTCATGGAATCTGAATTGTCAATCTTAGACCAGGAACAAGGTCTTGAGGTCATAGTGGATAGAAATACATAAAGATGCCTGCTCAGCATACAGCAGTTGTGAAAAAGGCAAATTCCATTGGAATCTAAGATGTGTGGTCCATCATAACATTATAAAAAACTTAGCTAAATAAAAGTAGAAATTATCATTAGCACAAATTAAACAGTTTTATATTTTTGAGGGTGATCAGAATGTGCCTGCAGCCTATAGTGAGAACACAGTTTCACATCTCCATACAGCAGGTGTGAAAAAGGCAAATTCGATACCTGAGCTCACTAGGAAAGGAATTGAAATTAAAATTGCCAATATCATGACACCTGAATAGAAATATATTCTGTGACCACACTTGCATTAATGTGTGCAGTCACCTCACCTGACAAATGGTATTGTGGATTTGGAAAAGTTTCAGAAAAGGGGAATCAAGATGCTGAAGGGAATGGAATAACTTCCCCTTCCCCCCGGGAAATGTTATGAAATTTGGGGCATTTTAGTCTAGAGGAGAGGCAAGAAAGAGAGATGCGAGAGGTGTATAAGATTCTTCATGGCTGGACAAAATGGATAAAGAAAAGTTTTTGTTCCCTCTCTGATAACAATGGAACTTAATTGAATGTTGGAAGATTCAGGACAGAATGCTCTTTCATAATTAAGTTCTGGAAACTAAATGTAGAATTGGCTACATATCAGAGTGTAAACAGGTTCCAGCATTAGAAGATCACTGGAAAGATAAATATATGTGAATGTGATGTACCAGCTTTGTACCTGATCAACAGCATCTTGGCCCCATGGGCATTGTGGTGCAACTGAGGTGGGGATAGACTGGAAGGGCAATTTGTGAACGTTCATGGAGCTCATCTGTTGTTTCAAACAACCATGATAAAATTACAGGCTGTCTGGGAAGGCATGCAATCTTTGCCTTCATCATTTCCCACCCCCTCACTGGATCAGTTCTTTCCACGTATAAATCCCTCCAAGTCAGCTTCTTCCTCCATTGATTACCTGTTTCTTCTGAGTGCTTCTCAGCTTTTGATCTCTCCAGCACTATGAAAATTTTCCTGAGTACTTGTCTCCTCTTGGCCATCCTTTCTCTAGGTGAGTTGGAAGCTGAAATATTGATTTTTTTATTATTATTTTCAAATCTGGGAGGGTAAGTGCAGTAGGATAGGCAATGCAAACTGATATTAGCTCTATGAGGAATAAAGAAAGCTCAAAATATTGGCACCATGGGAAAATGGACTCTAAATTTTGGAGGGTAGGAGGAGACCAGAAACGCATGGAAGAGGGTCTGACAGAATGTTCTTTTGTTTCATGAGGTTGGCTTTGGGTGTATTTTCACATATAGACACCACCCCCTGCCTCTGGTTCATTCAGACTTCATTCCTTTAAATGGTGCATTGGTGATCGAGAAATCAAAAAAGAAAAAAGTTTCAAGTACTTAGGAAACACCTTCCATTGGATTCTAAGATGTGTGGTCCATCATAACATTATAAAAAACTTAGCTAAATAAAAGTACAAATTATCATTAGCACAAATTAAACAGTTTTATATTTTTGAGGGTGATCAGAATGTGCCTGCAGCGCTTAGGGCCTGTAGTGAGAACACAGTTTCACATCTCCTTTAAAGGATGCCTTTATGGATATCATATTTTAATAGCGAATTCGGCATCCAGGAATCCTTTGGTGATAGATCTTAGGAGTTCTAAACATTCTGGCAAAATGTGATGAGCTAGGTCAGCAACTCTTAGATTCTAGAGGCTGGCAAATACTGGCAAAAAAAACAACAACATTTTAGTACAGACTGGGGGATTTAGGTAGTTAGCAGGGGCTGGGGGTTGGAATATCACCCCTGTTGTTCTGAAGCCTGGGCTTGAGGAGTGGTATAGAGTTGGTTGAAACGGGTTTCTTCAGGACCTCCTCGCCCATTTTTGCTGTGGCTACGCAACAGTTTTGATATTTATCGGTAAGTAGTTTTGTATAGTGGTTTGTGTTCTAAGCCCAGGAGAAGAGAAAGATCAGATTCAAAACTCCCCACTCAACCAGGAAGCTCATGTTAAGTATCGTTTAGTGGTTGGCTCTTAAGAGTTCATTTTGCAAGTGTGCTTCTGTCTCATAGTGACTGAGGCAGAGGGGAATCTTTTATATTTGCAAATTCTTCTCCAACTTGAGGATTCTTATTGGGAGAAGGGTGAATTTTCTGAGCATGGCTCCAGGTAAAAGCAAGGGTAGAGGGGGCCATAAGGCCAACCAAAAGCTCCTGCACCCCAGAAGAAGCAGGCACAGCCAACTCTGACAACCCCCTCTGAGGAGGAGGAAGAGCCAGACTGGAGGGCTATATTGATGTGCCTTAAGGCCTTGGAAAGGCAGAAATCAACATCTGTCACAGCTGCAGCTTCCACATTGGCAACAGCAGTGGGAAGTGCCCCACAGCTTTCAGCAGCAGGAATAGAAAAGCCTAACCAGGGTGTTGTTGATTTAATTTTAGCATGCCTGGATGCCTTGGAGGCAGGTACCGGTTTTGCTTCTGAGGAAGGGCCAGCTGTGGAAGTCACACAGGAGTCGGTCATGGCTGCTGATACTGCTACAGGTGAGGCATTTTCTTCCCTGCTAAGCGATTGGGCAGGGGGGCACCGCCAATTGCCAATGGGGTTGTCAGGGTTGGAGTTTGGCCCAATTGCCTTTGTCCCCTCCAGTGGTGGCTGAGGCTTCCTCAGGATCCCCTCTTATATAGGGCGATCTGGAATCTTGTTGGCTGCCTTGGTGGGCAGACTTTAATCAGGTATGGAGGTTGGGGGGTGAATGTGACCAATCACGTGGTCTGCAGAGATGACTGAGATGTCCTCCCTTCATCCATTAGCATCCACCAGTAGCCAGTCAGCCCTGTTCTTTGGAAATATTAGTTTTGATTTATAGAGTTGACCAGGCGCGGGGACGTGGCAAGCCTATGATGAAACTTTTCGTAAGGGTGCGGCTATTGAGCCTACATTGCAATGGGAGAAAAAGTTGTCTGACCGATGGCTCCATTTTATGTGTCATGCACTTACCATATAGATAGAACTGACAACAGGCACATTTTGCAGAGATAGAGGGAAGCTGTGTGTCGGTGTGCATAAAGCTTCCAATGCACCACTATACATAGATCCTGAGACCAATAAGATTTTATCCAACTGAAAATAGAGATTCCATTTCTCCAAGGTGGAAGAACTCATGTATGTGGCATTGAACATTTCTTTTTCTTTACTCTCAGAAGTGGGAATATTACTTTGTGCTAGAGTGAAAAAAATGGGTGGTGCACTTCAAGGATGTAATATCACAGGAGGCAGTTGCTTTGAACAGGTGAATGCAACCTATTTCAGTGAGTATGAAGCCTTTCTGTCTGATTAAACCTGAGTGTGTGGGTTTTCATTTGATCTCTGGGGTATTTAGGGGTGACCACAGAATATGATCTCACACAATGTCAAGGAACTCAACTTTTTCCCAGAATAAAATAGTAGAATAAAAACTGTATAAAAAACTGTTTAAAATGTACCAATAATTACAGTAAAAACAGCATGGTCTCAGCCCTTTCATTAAAACAGTCATTCCCCCAAATCCTGTCCAGACAAGAATGTCTTCAGCTGCTGGCAAAAGCACAGCAAGGATGGGCTAAATCTCTCTTCTCTAGGGAGGGACTTCAGGAGTCCAGGAGCAGCCACTGAGATGGCACAGCATGCATATTAAAATCACGCAGGACTACCAAACTCAAAACCATCTCCCAACTCTCTCCTTTCAGAACCTGTCTCCAAGGAGCTGCTGCCAACAGCAACTGAAGCCACAGAAATCTTTTTCCTATTGGAAAAATAAACAGAATCATAACTCCATTTCCCCATAGAAGGCTGCATACAAAAATGGTTCTTATTGTGACATAGCCAGAAAGAAGTGAGATCAAGAGAGTGGGAAAACAGTCTTATTCTCCTGTCTCTCAGAAATGTAGTACATAGTAAAAAGCAGCTTCTTGAGTTAGGCCACTGGATAGGCTAGCTGGATATGGGTTCCATTTTGTGTATGCAGAAGAACAAGTCCATGGACATTGGAATCTTGTCCCATCAAAGCACATTTTTTAAAAAGTAACTATTCTGGTATAGTCACATGGTTTTGCAGAAGAATTTATGCCATATTTATAAAGTGATTCTTGAAGAAACTACTTTAAAGATAAGCTTGCTAAATTTAGTGCTTGCCAGGCTCTTCTCTTAAATCACCTAGAAGCATTATATAAATTTGAGTACACAGAGGAACGGATTTATTGCTGATCTAGCCTTTGCTTCCTATATTCTCTCACAGATGGCTCTGAAAACACCACAAGAGTAATGGGATGTGTGAAAAAATGCCCCTCAAATTACAGCTTCACTACAGAACAAGGTCAATACATGAGGAGTTTCACAAAGTGCTGTCAAACGCTTTTTTGCAACAAGAAAAGCATTACACGTAAGTGCATATATCTGCATATATCTCAGAGCATAAATAGCATGGAGGTTTCCGTTTTCTTCCTTGTTGCCCTTAGACAAACAATACTGTTCCAGTCCAAGATTCGTTTCCCTAGTTTTTATGGGAAGTGCTTAGAATCAGCATCACCATCTGTGTCTCAAATACGTAAATAGAGGGATGGGGGGAGAGATATGAGACCGCATGTCTTTGCTCCCGGAAAGCCTTGTGGGACTTAGAAGTCATCTTGCTTGAGCAGAACTGCAGAAGTAGTAAGTAAAAGCAGCTGTTGCTGCTGGAGGCCTTCCAGCTAGAGAACTACAAAAGGCACACTGCAGAGTGAATGAGAGTTGGGACTTTGAAGAGAGTGCCCTCTCTTTATTTGCATCTTACACGGGTTGAATTGTTTGAAGGTATTCCTTGGTGGGAGGAAGAAGTACCAGGGACCAGATCTGCATAGCTCCACCTATCCTCAGGTGAGAGTCTGGAGTGGGAAACAGCAACATGGGAGGGAGCCAGATTGCTGCCAGGAACATCTGTGGCTATTTGTATTGTTATTTTAGATGCCTCAGTGAGTGAACTGTTTCTTTACAGTGGTGCCTCGCAAGACGAAATTAATCCGTTCCGCGAGTCTCTTCGTCTTGCGGTTTTTTCGTCTTGCGAAGCACAGCTATTAGCGGCTTAGCGGCTTAGCGGCTATTAACGGCTTAGCGGCTTTAAGAAAAAGGAAAAAAACTCGCAAGAACTCGCAAGACGTTTCGTCTTGCGAAGCAAGCCCATAGGGAAAATTGTCTTGCGAAGCAGCTCAAAAAACAAAAAAACCCTTTCGTCTAGCGAGTTTTTCGTCTTGTGAGGCATTCGTCTTGCGGGGCACCACTGTATCTCCTTGGTTTCTGCAGTACATTCTGTTGAGTGGAAGGAGTGACTGGCAATCATTGTTTGGTGATTGAGTGAGAGATTGTGGAGTGAGTGGGTGGATGATGTGTTGTTTGCAATTGTGGAGTAGAATGGGATGAGTAATATGGAATGGGAAGCAGATACTTAATATTTGTGAAGATGAGCAGCAGAATTTGAATGTGGTGCATATTATTTTGTGAGTTGGGAGATGCCTTGGCAAGAGGATCACTGAAAACGGGAGGGGTCCTTGAAATGAAATATACTTCAAGATGTGCTGATATGTTTTTGTTTTTTGACATTTTATTGCTTTATTACACTATAGTGTTTTGTTCAAAGGTGAATTTTAGTTAAGTTTAGTTTCTCATTTTCTCATATATACAGTATACACCCACCCACCCACCTCTGTTTTAGTATTAAGATATTATTTCATATAGAAAGAAACACCTAGGCTTGCTTCAGTCTGTCATTTATTGATTCAGAACTTTATATTAGCCTTAATCACAAACAGTATGCAACCTAGCAACGAAGTAAATAACATATGTTAACAATATTATATGCATAAATTATTCTTTCACAGTAAGAATACATAATCCATGATGGAACATGGTACATAATAAGCAATGCACACACAAAAATAGCAGTTGCAAATTAGTCTAAGTGACAAGCCAAGAATGAAGTCCATAGCTGGCCCCCTTAAAAATATTCCTACTTGCCTATTCATCTCAGGTCCATCTATGAAACACAATAAAAATTTAGTAACAGAGTGGGTGGAGTCTCTCTGGCATTTCTTTGCATAACAGCAACTAAAAGTGCTCCCTTTTGATAACCCACCTGCCAGCACCTCTCTCTCTTATTAGGGATGATGGCTAGATCTACATCATCACACCACTAATTCTGGAAACAGAATGCAGTAAAGATGCTGCAACACTTTTACAGGACTAGAGCACTGAGGCTTAGAAATCATTCTCAGCTGGAACCATATGTTGACTTTAGTGGTGCTTTTTGCAGATCTACATCGTCAGTTAAATGGTCTGACATGTCCAATCCTTGGTCCTTCTGGCCCAGTAGTTTCTGAACGTCCAAAGCCCATCAGGTGTTATGGAGATGAGACTCGGTGCCTTGAGTTTGTTCTTGTTCGTGGTAAGTAGCATTGCCATCCAATGAGTGGGAGAGAAGAGACAGGGTGGGGGGCTAGCTGTTTCTCTCTGTTTTTGACCTCCTGACAAAAAAATGGACTATGTTTGTATTGGTGGAGACAAGTTTTCTTCTTCCTGTAAACATAACGGAGCTAAAATTGCATGTAAAACGATCTTTTAAAGGAGTGTTTTTACTAACCTTTTAAAAGAAGCAGCCATGGAATCCTGATCTGCAAAACAATATTGATACAGATTGGGCCCCTGTTGCATAAGAAAAAAATCATCATCTGTTTCATATTCACCTCATGATGTAATTCTGTGATGCTTTCTATACCTATGCAATGCAGTTCAGAAAAATTAAAATGCTTCTGTTCTCTCTCTTCTACACACACATCCTTTATTATCCAGACACTCATGTGACTGTTTCTCTTTTTCTTTACTAGATGACAGTGAAGTTCCCAATGAGGTTGTCAGAGCCTGTGCAACTCCATCTTTTTGTGAAATGGCCAAAATGTCAATGCATATTGATGCCATTTCAGGCACTATAACTGAAGCAAGATGCTGTGAAAGTGTGCGTTCCGAAGAGCAGCTCAACATTGAGGGGTAGTTAGAGGGGAACTACATCTTCTTTCTTTTCGATCCCACTGTTTCTTGCAGCTGTGGAAGTGGAGGTTGCTTTCCTGGTGGTGGGAATATTGAGCGACTGCCATTCAAAGGACTCCTGAGTCCTCTATTTGGCTTATAGTGGTGGGTAAATGGGTTTAGGCGATAGAGAATCTGAAGTAGTAATGTCTAGCTTTGGGACTCTTTTTCATGATAATATGTTATAGGTATTATATTCCCCTTAAAATAAATTGGTGTTGCAAATGAAAACTGTGTGCTGTGCCTTTATTCATCAAATTAAGAGTATTTGGCAAAATTGGTGGCAAAGGGAATTGCTTTTAGAAGGAGCAAATAGGTAAGAAAGGTACTGGTAAATACCAATCCATATTCATAGAAATTTCTGAGTGGCTTACAATATTTTAAAGATACCACAAGAAGTTCAAACACACACACACACACACACACACACACACACACAAACACACCACACACACAACAACTTCCCTTCCAATTTATCAAGAGGGAAACATTAATGAAAGCTCTAAAATGCAGCCAACAGTAGGCATTTGTAGATGGTTTTTGGGAGATTTGTCACACAGCACTAGGCAACTAGGGCAGATTACTAGTGTTTGGCAGAACTCAGGAGAGAGAGAGGGAGTCGGGAGCATAAGAGGATCCCTGCTGGATCACACCCAAGACCCCTCTAGTTCAGCATTCTGGTGTCAGAGTGCCTAACAATTTACTCATGAGAAGCTGAGAAAACAAGGCATGAGCACAACAGTGCTCTCCTACAATAGCTATCCACTGCTTGAGCATTTTCTCCTGCTCAAGTACAAAAGTCATTATAGGAAACACACAAAACTGCTGTATTTTAAGTGCAGAAATCCCTGAATTTTACAAGAAGCCCAGAAAACTAGGATCTTGCAGATACTCTCAGAAGAATTGACAGTAGGTACCGCTGGGAGTACCAAGAAGGTATCTCTTTTACTTAAAAAGAGAAAAAACATAGAATCAGGGATGCAAAGGAGGCTGAAATTTTTTGGAGGAAATATTATAAAGACTTGGGAGGAACAGACCCCACTTTGGAGGGTGCAGTAGGAGGACAGGACCCAGAGCAATCTGATGGCAGTGTAGACAGGAGGAGGAGGAAGATAAAAATAGGAAGAAAAAGAAAGGTAAAAAAGACAAGGCAAGACTTCAAAACACAATCAATATGCCTGGTGTTGTTGTTTAGTCGTTTAGTCATGTCCGACTCTTCGTGACCCCATGGACCAGAGCACGCCAGGCACTCCTGTCTTCCACTGCCTCCCGCAGTTTGGTCAAACTCATGCTGGTAGCTTCGAGAACACTGTCCAACCATCTTGTCCTTTGTCGTCCCCTTCTCCTTGTGCCCTCCATCTTTCCCAACATCAGGGTCTTTTCCAGGGAGTCTTTTCTTCTCATGAGGTGGCCAAAGTATTGGAGTCTCTGCTTTACGATCTGTCCTTCCAGTGAGCACTCAGGGCTGATTTCCTTAAGAATGGATAGGTTTGATCTTCTTGCAGTCCATGGGACTCTCAAGAGTATTCTCCAGCACCATAATTCAAAAGCATCAATTCTTCAGCGATCAGCCTTCTTTATGGTCCAGCTCTCAGTATGATAATATTAAGTTGGAATGTAAATCGATTGAATAGTAAAGTTAAAAGAATAAAATTGCACATATTTTGATGAAACAATATTTAGATTTAATTTGTTTACAAGAAACACATATTGCTAAAAGACATAGAGGATTATTATTACATTATTATTGTTTTTATTCATTTTTACCCATCAAACAGAAAAAGAAAAGAAATATCCATCACCACAAAAGAAAAGAAAAGACTCGATACATCAACTAGTAGTCTCAAAATCTTGAAATAATAATGGTCTTTTTCTATCAACCAGACTTCCCGTCTACTCTTTACATCAATTTCTCATTAATCTATTTGTTCACTGCCATAGCATATCAAGTTTTATTAAAGTTTAATAGCCTTTAATCTATATTTTCTTTTACATTATACTGGAAACTACTGCTGGAATTATTCGAACGCTGCAACTGACCTTAAACTACAATGGTTATTTTTCAAATAGTTTTTAAACACTTCCCATTTTGAAACAAATACCTGTTTTGGTTTGTTTTTTGTTTTTTCTGACAAGCTATCTAGTTCCGCATATTCAGCCATTTTTTGAATCCATTCTAATCTCGACGGAACTTTGTCATTCTTCCAATGTACCACAATGAAAACTCTTGCTGCAACCATGGTGTATAAAAAGATCTCTCTTACCTTCTTGGGAATATCCAAATCTATGATTTCCAAACGGTAAGCTTCTGGTTTTTTAATTAAAGGATATTTTAAACATTTTTTTTTCCAATTCTATGTGGGTATCCTCCCAGAACACCTTAATTTCTTTACACTGCCACCACATGTGGAATAGAGTAGCTGGCTTTTCTTTGCACCTCCAACAATTACTTGGGACACTTTTATACATCTTAGACAGTTTACATGGATTTAGATACCACCGAATTTGCATTTTAAGACAGTTCTCTCTCAGAGAGTAACAAGCTGTGAATTTCCAGTTTGTTTTCCACAGGTTTTCTCACGGCTACATAGTTATTGTGTTCCCAAAACCTTGTGACCACTTAACCATAGCCACTGTGACCTCCTCCTCCTTGACTTCCCAGTCAAGGATGAGTCGGTACATTTTAGAAAGTGTTTTAATCTTTGAGTTCACCACATCAGATTCAAATCTGGAGGTCTCAGTGGAGAAAGCCTTCTGTTTCTCAGCTTTAAATGTCTCAAATATTTGGTGGCATTGAAGCCAGTCAGATACGCACTCTCTTATTTCCTTGAAACTTTTTCATTTCAGTTGGTTATTTTCTTCCTTTAGGAGTGCTTTATATATTGGCCTGGTTCCCTGAGTTTTTCCCCTCTTAACCGCACAAGCCTCTATTGGGGAGATCCACCAGGGTACTTTGGGTTCAAGCAAATTTTTATATTTCTTCCAAACCATAATTAATGATTTCCTAATAATATGGTTCTAAAGGTTTCTATGGACTTTAATTTTCCCAAAAGCCAAGTATGCATGCCATCCTCATTGACTGTCAATGCCACCCAACTCTAAAAGATCCAGGTCTTACAGTGTACACCACTCCTTTAGCCAGGTGAAGCAGACTGCCTTGTAGTATAATTTCAGATCAGGTAGGGGAAAGCCTCCTCAATCTTTTACATCAATTAGAATTAGATTGTTTAATTCAATAATCTTCTATGTCTATGACCCAGACATAGAAGATTATTGATAAATAAAAGAATGAGTTTGGAATTTGTGTCTTCAGATAGCACTAAGAAACAAGGAGTAGTTTTGTATATTAGGTCCAAATTTCAACCACAATTGCTATTTAAAGATGAATTGGGAAGAGTAATAGTGACACAAATTACAATACAGGGGCAAGAAGCTATCATTATAGGAATTCACGCTCCTAATGAAAAGAAGGTTGAATTCTTTAAAGACCTGGAAAATAAATTAATGGAATATATGGATCAAAAGATTATTATGCTAGGAGACATGAATGGCGTATTCTCACTGGAAATGGATAGAACAATAAGGAACTCAGAATCAAAAGAAGGGAAATTACCACTAACCTTCTTTGCAATGAATGAAAATATGAATTTAATTGATGCTTGGAGATTTAAGCACTCATTAGGGAATTCACTTTCCTATCAGAAGTACACCAATCAAGCAACCTGATCGGTGCTGTGTGGATATCTAAGGAAATTACCTTAATGGTAAAGTCAGCAGATATACTACCAAGGAGCCTTTCTGACCACAACCCAGTTCTTATACAGATAAAAGGAGAAGGTAATACCTTGAGAAGCTGGAGGTTAAACAAAGACTTATTAAACAATCAGGAAATAACTAAGATGGCAGAAAAAATCTTAAAAGACTATTTTGAATTAAATAGCCATAAAGGGACAGAAGGCAATATAATATGGTATGCCAGTAAAGCAGTAATTAGAAGCTTCTTTATTAGCCAAAATGCATATCAAAAGAAACTTAGAGATCAGAAGAAAAAAGCAATTCTGGACGAAATAATTAAACAAGAAAAAGAGTAAAAAATCACAAAAGGAGACTATTAAACAGACAATTAAAATATTGCAATCAGAATACTCAATGATAATCAAGAAGTAATGTGGAAAATTAAAATATTAAAGCGAAAGAATTTTGAGTATGGAAATAAGCCATGGAAACTTTTAGCATGGCAATTAAATAAAAGGAAATAATTTGATTCATGAGATAAAAGCAAATGATAAAAGATAATCTGAAAGAGTTCAGGAATCCATTTGTTAAATATTTTACAGATTTATACCCCAAAGGCCCAGAAAATAAAATAGATATTGAAATATATTTACAACAAAATAAGCTGCCAAAAATTCTAAATGAAAAATTAAACGTATTAAACACTCTAATTAGTAATCCGGAAATTCTAGAAGCTATTAAACAAGTAAAGCCCAAGGCCCGGATGGTCTAACAGCAAAATATTATTTAAAAAATTACAAAACTGGCTAGTGCAACCATTACAAAATGTACTGAGTGGAATATTAGCAACAGGAAAGACACCATAGACATGGGAAGAGGCATACATTACTTTAATCCCAAAGCAAGAGGCAGATAGATTAGAAGTTGAAAATTATAGACCAATTTTATTACTAAACTGTGATTGTAAAATATTTGCTAATATTTTAGCAAAGAGAATGAAAGGTCTATTGTTGGAAATAATCCACCAAGATCAAGCAGGATTCCTCCCAGGTTGACAAATGGCCCCCTGCTGAACAGGTTTGCTGACCCTTGCTTTGAAGACTGGCGAAAAGATGTTACAAAATTTATTTGGCAGGGGAAGAAGCCAAGAATAAAATACAAATTATTAACAGCTATTAAAGAAAGAGGAGGCTTTTCACTGCCAGATCTGAAACGCTATTATGAAGCCTTATGTATTTGTTGAATTCGAGAATGAATCAAATTTTTTAAAAATACAGATTTATTAAATCTGGATGGGTATGATAATAGATTGAGTTGGCATAGTTACTTATGGTATGAAAAGGCAAGAATGTCGGATTCTCAGGCCTCAGTCAGAGGTAACTGGCCACTCTCCAGGCACTCGGCTTGAGATCCTTGTTGACCTCCCTGTCTGCGTCTCCCGGCAGGATACAGGCAAGGTCACATTCGGCGATCCCACTCAGCGTGAGAGGGACACACCATTCCTCCCTCCTCCCTGCTTCCCTCAGGGAGGGGAAAGAGACAGACAGAAATCTATTTACATGTCTTTATTTCTGTCATTGCAGCAGTACAGAGAAACACGTCTGCACTCTCCAGTCTCCAACAGTAGAGAGATAAAACTCCACCCCTGTACTTCCAGTACAGGTCAGATGACACTCTGAGCTAACATCCGGTGCTCAGTACAGTGAATAGATTGCCCCTTTGTTCCCATGGTACAGTCCCAAACATCAACATCCTGTTTTGCTTTGCAGACACCTGCAGCTCGCTCTTGCATTGCTGCTTTTTCCTGACATCCTGCCCCAAAAGTATCAATGTGCGTTGCGAGCAAAGTGTGATCCAGAGAAGAATACAAACAGTTGTTATACATATAACAATCCCCTGTTGTTTCAGTTCCACCCTTGGAACTCCCCGCCACTGGTTTCCCCAGTGTACCTCTCTGGTTGTCTGGCTTCCAAGGAATGAGTGGCATCTGCATTACCTTGGCTTGTAACTCTCTGTTGTGTCTTTGTCTCTGACTTAGACACAGCTTCAACCTGTCTTGAGTTGTTAACAATAGCAACACATGCAACAGCTAAGTTAGCAAACTCTTTTGAATACCTCTTGGGTGGTACACCCTTTGTAATTCTCTCAGACCTGCGTATGAGGTGCTGATCCTCTCTGCTCACTGGTTCAGCTTCTGGACTCTTAGGAGAACCAGATCCAATAGTAAACAGTGGTTCTTCCTTCATCTGTGAAGGCCTATCCATTGTGTAAGACTTCCTCTCAATGACTGTGTCAACTGAGCTCTGTGAGCTATCACTGTCATCATCACCACTGTAATCAGTAAAATCATTATCATCATCATCTGAATTGCCCTCAGTGGGAAATGTGTGAACAATTACTCTCTCCTGTTCAGGAGCACTCTCTAGAAATTTTGTGAGAATCACCTGACCAGATTCAGACAAAATTACTCTGTAGAGACCCTTTTCATATCCCACAAAAATGCCTCTGGCATTCTTTACTCCACCTGGAGCTTCTGTTCTCACATGAGACCCAAAAACCTTAAAATAGGCAACAGAAGGTTTTCTATGGAACAGCTTCTCAAAAGGAGAACTTCCCAACTCTTTTGAGACCTTTCTCAACCACGTGTGAACATAAGACATTAACGACTCCGCAATTCTTTGTTCACCCGTACACAGACACCCCTGTTCCACGCTTCCGCTGAAACAGCAACCTTGTGGTTAATCCCTTTCTTCTGCAGGAACTCCTGAAAATCTTGTAAAAGAAAAATTGGCTTCTCATCTGTGAAAAGACAATCTATGTTAGCATCAGGCACATTTTTAACCTTGTCACAAAACTCCTTAAACCTTTCTAAGGCTTCTTTTGGTTTCTCAAATGTATATACCCACACATAATGAGAGAAACAATCCACACACACAAGATAATATCTTGCATTGCCTCTAGATGGTGCTAGAGGACCAATCACATCAGCATACACCTGCTGAAATGCTCTGTCGACCCCGGTCACCTTCCGGGCGTCCTTGGTCATACCTGCGAGAGAAATTTCATTAGAATCAAATGCATTACATTTCATGTAATCACTTTGATCAAAAGTCAACAAATACAGTCCATCTTTCTCTCTGGCAGAAAGATACAGCTCTCCATCTTTGAAGATCTTGCAGCTCTTATCATCATAGGACAGTTTCAGTCCTTTCTTTGCAATCTGCGAAACACTCAGCAGATTGAACTTCAACTCAGGAACCAAGTACACATTGTGTATAGTCAAGTTCAGACTCTCAAGATACACAGTTCCAATCCCGGTCGCTTCCAGCTCCTGACCGTTGGCCTGCTTCACAGTGAAGCTTTGCTTCTTAAATGTCGAAAACAGACCTCTGTGTGACGTCATGTGATTCGAACAACCCGTGTCAATGATGAACGTGTTCTCCACCTCTGGCGTGGTTCCTTTCGACATCAAAGCCTTTGCAGGTTTCACCTGGGACTTGGTGCGACTTTTGCCTGACGCCTCAGGCTTCGCAGAGCTCCCCTTGGCTCCTTTCTGTTGACGTGGCTTCTTACAGTTCCGCTGAAGATGCCCAGTCTGTCCACAATTGTAACATCAGACAGCGCTCAAGGCTACAGCATGCTCCTCAGTAGCAACATCAGTGGGGGAGTCAGAACTCCGTGCCTCTCTCCCCCTGTCCTTCACATCCAGTGCAGCAAGGCGATCGTGTTCATTCGGAACAACGGCACACACCCTCTCCGAAGTGAGATCCTGGGCCGGTAGGGAACCAAGCTGACTGGCAACTGTTTTGTAAGTCCGATTAAGGCTGTTGATAATCATGAAGCAAAAGACCTCTTCTTGTAGACGGAAATTGCGCTCCGCCATCTGCTGACGCAGGAACTTCATCTCAGTCAAATGCGCTTGTACATCTCCATCAGGCGCAAGCCTCAGCTTGGTCAGCTTTTCAAAATGCAGCAACACTGAAGAACCAGCATCTCTCTGATGTGTTCTACGCAGCGTCTCCCAAATCTCTCGTGCGTTCACTAAATCCCGGATATGCACGAGTTGCTGATCTGAGACACAGAGAATTATAGCCGTCCTGGCTTTCAGATTCTGTGAATTCCAACCTGGCGTTGGTGCTGCAGGAATGGGGTTCTCAATCACCCCAAAAATCCTCTGATTCTGTAGCAGAGCTTTCATCTTTATAGACCAAGATGAGTAATTGTCATTAGTCAGGGGAGGTGGGTAAGGTAAGCCTGCCCCCTTCTTGGCATCCATTTTGACTCCAAGCCGCAGCTTTCACTCTCGAGCCTGTAAAATCCAACAGTCACTCTTGGTTGTTTACTGCCTTTTTCTCACTTGGCAGATAAACCGCAAGCTGCATAAAATGTCCTTGCACAGAACAGGGAGATAGTCAAAATAAAATAGTTTCCTGCTTGGCAGGGGGTTGGACTCGATGGCCCTTGTGGTCTCTTCCAACTCTATGATTCTATGATTCTACTCTCCGTGTTCCAGCCCCTTTAGCCAGTAAGTTTCCACTCTACTGACTTCCCGTTGCTTAGCAACAGCACATTCCAGCGTTATCTAGGAATGCAAGGTATTCGGCTGTTTTCCTGTGCTGGCTTTCAGCCTAACGCAGACACACAGCGAACCGAAGATATTTTTCTTTACACGTTCACTTCACACAGCCATAAATTCTCCATACCTTGGGGCTCCGTTGCTTGGCTTTCACTCCGTCTCGATGCCCAGCCGTCTGTTTAGCTTCTAGCTGCACACAGACTTATCTTCCTCCCGTGGTGCAGAGGATGAAGAACGATCCATCAACCTCTCATGCAGATTTCAATGGATCAAAACCACCGGCAATGCTACCAGATGTCGGATTCTCAGGCCTCAGTCAGAGGTAGCTGGCCACTCTCCAGGCACTCGGCTTGAGATCCTTGTTGACCTCCCTGTCTGCGTCTCCCGGCAGGATACAGGCAAGGTCACATTCGGCAATCCCACTCAGCGTGAGAGGGACACACCATTCCTCCCTCCTCCCTGCTTCCCTCAGGGAGGGGAAAGAGACAGACAGAAATCTATTTACATGTCTTTATTTCTGTCATTGCAGCAGTACAGAGAAACACGTCTGCACTCTCCAGTCTCCAACAGTAGAGAGATAAAACTCCACCCCTGTACTTCCAGTACAGGTCAGATGACACTCTGAGCTAACATCCGGTGCTCAGTACAGTGAATAGACTGCCCCTTTGTTCCCATGGTACAGTCCCAAACATCAACATCCTGTTTTGCTTTGCAGACACCTGCAGCTCGCTCTTGCGTTGCTGCTTTTTCCTGACAAAGAATTCATCAAGGCTTCTGAAATAATATAATAAGGAAAGTGATATTTAAAGTTTGGAGAAAGTATAAAGGATTACTGGAACAAAAAACACCATGGTGACTATCGTACATAGGCAATATCAGTGAAAAAAATAAATATGGCTACGTATAGAAGGTTGTTAACAGAAATAGGAAACCAATTAAAATTGAAAGAATTTAATGAAATTAGGGAGAAAATAACAAAATGGCTGCAATATTTTCAGTTAAATGAAACATTTAAGAATGATAAAAAGAAAGGATTTCAGTATGAAATTTCAACTTTTCAGAAAGAAATGATAGGAAATTAATATCGAAAATGTACAATCTGTTGCTAGAATGGGAAACAAAAGATGAAGAGGTTAAATCAATCATGTTTAAATGGGCACAAGATGTGGGACACAATATACAGATGGAGGAATGGGGAAAAACTAGGGAAGAATGAGATAAAATTTACGGCATGTGTAGTGATGAAAGAAAATTATATGAAAATTATAGATAGATGGTATCTAACTCCAGTAAAATTAGCAAAAATGTACAAAAATAAAGAAAGTAAATGTTGGAAATGTGAATTAGCAGAAGGGACATTTTCCCATATGTGGTGGGATTACAAAATTGTAAAGAAATATTAGGAAATGATTTACAATGAAATGACGATGTTCAAAATAACTTTTGTTAAAAAACCTTCCAAATAGGTATTACAGGAGCAGTTATACCAGCACATATTTAAGTCTGCAACTACAGCCACATGAATACTACTAGCACAACATTGGAAAGAAGAAGGGTCCCAGCTGAAAAAGATTGGCAAGTTAAACTAATGGAATATGCTGAGATGGCAAAATTGACATTGAAACTAAGAGGAAGAGACAATAACAAATTTAAGGAAGATTGGAAGGACTTTATTGCATATATACAGAAGCAATGTACACAGGTTAGTACATTAGCCGGCTTCTAGAACTACTTGTAATGATACTATGAAGGGAGAATGAGTAATTTTCAATGATTTTTCAATTTAAAATGGACATGCGGTATGATGATAAACAATGGAACCAGGAAAGGGACCAGGGGGAAGTCAATTCTTTTCTTGCTTTGTTTAATTATGAACATGTATTGTTGTTGTTTAGTCTTTGTTATTTTTGGAAAACTAATAAAATATAATTAAAAATAAGAAGAGGATCAAGTCACCCCAATCACCTCTCAGTTGCTTTTTAAAATCCAAATGTCGACCACTGGAGCTTTGGGGGCCCCTTTCTACAAGAAATGAATATTAATTTGCTGTATTTTAATCATAAATGATATTTAATGATTGTTGGCTTTTTTAAAAAAGATAATTGAAAAATGAGGATTAAAAAGAATGCTGTGGCCCCCCAGAAGGAATGTGATGTTTCAGAAAATGAAGAAGTGGTTCCAGCAGTTTCAAAGAAGGCAGTTGTTTAGTCACTCATTTTTTTAAAAAAAATCTCTCTCTCTTACCTTTGAATAGTGTAATTTTTAAAGCTTTTTTAATTTTAATTTTTAATTTTAATTTTAAAGCTTCAGATATTCATGGAATCTGAATTGGCAGTTTTTGACCAGGAACAGGGTCTTGAGGTCATAGCAGATAGAAATCAATAAAGATGCCAGCTTAGTGTGCAGCAGTTGTGAAAAAGGCAAATTCCATACCTAAGTGTGCAGCAGTTGTGAAAAAGGCAAATTCCATACCTAAGCTCACTAGGAAAGTAATACAATATAAAACTGCCCATATCTATGACACCTCTATAGAAATATATTAATATATTATGTTGTTTTTTTAAAAATCATATTTATTGAAGTTTCCAAAACTCAAAAAAGAAAAAACAAAAGAAAAAGAAAAAATAAACCTTTACAATTAAAGCCTTACTTTCATTAACATCTTTCCAGGACTCCCCCATCCCCATCCCTATTGTATTCCCCTTTCATTAATTTGGTTCCACAAGTTCTTACTCCCAATTTAAAACTTATTTTGTTTAACCCACTATTCAATTTAGTTATATAACCACTTTCCCTTTACATTCCACCATCCCTCATCATTAAAAGAAAATTTTTCCCCCAAGGTCCACCCCAATTTCCCCAATATTTCCTAGAAATATATTATGACACCATACTTGCAATAATGAGTATGGTCACCTCACCACTAAAAGGGCATTATATATTCAGAAAATTTTCAGAAAAGAGGAATCAAGATGCTGAAGGGAATGGAATTACCCCCCCCCCCCGGAAATTTATGAAATTTGGGGCATTTTAGTTTAGAGGAGAAGCAAAAAACAGATGTGAGAGGTGTATAAGATTATGCATGGCTGGACAAAATGGACAGAGAAAAGTTTTTGTTCCCTCTCTGATAACAATAGAACTTAATTGAATGTTGGAAGATTCAGGACAGATGGAGCAAGGTGCTTTTTCATAGTTAAGCTCTGGAAACTAAACGTAGAATTGGTGGGATACCAGAATGTAAACAGGTTCCAGCATCACAAGATCACTGGAAAGATAAATATATGTGAATGTGATGTTCCAACTTTGTACCTGATTGACAGCATCTGCAATGCCCATGGGCATTGTGGTGAAACTGAGGTGGGGATAGACTGGCAGGGCAATTCGTGATATTTCATGGAGTATTGCTGTTGTTTCAAACAAGCCCTTCTTTCACCTTATTTGTCCGACTTTTTCTGCTGTACCCAAATGTCTTTCTTCCATTCCTGTGCTGCCTCATGTGAAAGAGACAAATGACATTGAGCCCTCAAATATTCTATAGGACATTTGTGCACTGAATTTGCCTCGTGGAACAATGTGTTGTCTTCAACATGAAATTCCAGCTTCAATGTAGTAATTTATAAGAAATATTTAATTAAACGGAGGCAAAGAATTTCAATAAACTGGACTTAGCCTTCTCTAACTGAAGAACTAGGGACGCGGGTGGCGCTGTGGGTAAAACCTCAGTGCCTAGGACTTGCCGATCGCATGGTCAGCGGTTCGAATCCCACGGCGGGGTGAGCTCCCGTTGTTCGGTCCCAGCTCCTGCCCACCTAGCAGTTCGAAAGCACACTTAAGTGCAAGTAGATAAATAGGTACCGCTTTATAGTGGGAAGGTAAACGGCGTTTCCATGTGTTGCGCTGGTGCAGGCTCACCAGAGCAGCTTCGTCACGCTGGCCACGTGACCCAAAAGTGTCTCTGGACAGCGCTGGCCCCCGGCCTCTTAAGCGAGATGGGCACGCAACCCCAGAGTCGGACACGACTGGCCTGTACGGGCAGGGGTACCTTTACCTTTACCTTTAACTGAAGAACTAACTGACAGGATTCCTCTTAGGATTTGAAATAAGTGGAATAACATATCAATGTAAGGTATGCGCACAAAGCAGACTGCAGTATAGCAGAGAGAAGGAAACCTGGAAAGGGGAGTTGTCTGTGTGCAAGAGAGCATTAAAGTGGGGAAAGGAGGAAAAACAGGTGAAGGCAGGGTGGATGTTTTCCCTGTCGGAACGCCAGAATGCACTTCTGGCATCTTGAGGGTTGACACCATTGCAGTCTGGCTTCCTGACGATGATAGTGCTTCTTGGTTACAATATCATTCTGTGGAACATTCTGCCTCTGAGCGGTTGGTGAGAACAATGGAGAGATACAGCAGCAGCAGCAGTGAGGCAAAGGGGCCACTACAGTTGCCTCATGATGCAAAGAACCAGTGGTTGAGGCTCACCCCACTAAGGGTGCTTCAGCAGCGCAAGCCATGCAGAAGCCAGGGTGCATGCATGGAGGCAGAAGATGAAGGAGGCGGAAGATGAAGGTTGCAGTGTCCAGCAGCTGTAATGGTAGAGTGCAATATGATGTTGCCCGCCAAGTAGCACTGCTGGGTAAGCTTCACACAGTGATTCGTCCACAAAGAAACAAGGGTAGAAAATAGCAGGATTTTAAACAGCAGCCCAGGGGAGTACATGTTGACCTTCTGCCTGTTAATGAACAAAAATACTTGGGGTTGGGAGACAATCAAGATCTCCCTAGAAGATGGTGAAGCCAGGCTTCTTCTCACGTGATTTTGGTTTCAAGATGGTGGTGACAGAGGTGGAGCTAGCTGCTCCGGCACCCTGCTCTGGCTGTGCACCTGGGGTTGGGGCTAGCTGCCTGTGGGGGTGGGGCGAGTATCCCAGGGGGGCGCTGCCCACAGTGAACATCCCAGTGCAACAATGTCACCCCCAAGGATGACAACTGGGGTGTGCCGCACCCACCACACCCCCTTCTTCCACCAGTGGGCAGTGACGGCATCTGGGTTGGTGACAGAGGTGGTGAGTGCACTTTTTCTTAAGAAAAAAAAAGGACCAGGTGAAGGTGACAATGGTTTGTGTGTGTGTGTGCGTGCGCGCAAATGAGAAGTAATGGTGGCAAACGACTCAAATACGTAAAATTGCAGAAAGTTCTTTGGTTAAATTTCATGGGGTTCCCAAAAGGGATTCAATAACTTTAAATATATGTTTCTTAGTACCAAGAATGGGGTGGAATAGAAAAGGTAGCTGGCAAAATTCATGCGGTTCCCAGAAATATTTAATTCAATTTTCACACTATGCATTTTGTTCCATGATAAAATTACAGGCTGTCTGGGAAGGCATGCAATCATTGCTTTCATCATTTCCCACCCCCTCACTGTACCATTTCTTTCCATGTCAACCTTCTTCTTGGCCTATAAATCCCTCCAAGTCAGCCTCTTCCTCCATTGATTACACTGGTCAACAACAAATTTGTTGTCTGCGTTTTTTTCAGCTGATTTAGGACGAATCTGATGCGCTGAATCAAAAAATCACATTGGTTTTGCTCAATCAGGTCAAGTTTTTGAGCTATGGCCACATGTCTTTTTTACATTTTTGTTCACATGTACGCTTGTGTGGAGCATTTTAGAAGAAGTTGGTGGGGGTAAAATGCCTTGTCAAATAATTGTTTTGATTGGAAATGATTATTTTAATGACAAGAAGTATTCAGGTCCGATAGTTCTGGGTGATTATGTCGAAAAGGGATCAATTTGAAGTCATAAAACCTCGAAATCTTCCATAAATTGGTGCAGCAAAGCATAAAGTTGGGGGATCAAAACTAAGTTAATGGGGCAGCCACCCCACGAAGTATCCTGATCTTCAATCAGCACGTCGTCCTGTAGCTCATTGTGATGAAATTCCAGTGCCTATCTTCAGAGAACTTCCTGACATTAGTGACGAAGATGCCTCCATGTTGAAGGACATGAAGAAGAAGTGGTTCTTGAAGATGATGCTCCACATCCATTTTCCCAAAAGGAGTTGAATGATCTAGTTCGTGACCTCAGCTTGTCAAAGGACTCTGCCGAACTGTTGGCATCCAGATTGAAGGAAAAAAACCTCTCTGACAGTGCTCGCATCAGCTTCTTCCGCAACAGGCATCAAGAGTATCTCCGTTTTTTCTTGAAGAGAAGGACTTGGTGTACTGTGCAGATATTGCGCAGCTTCTGCTCAAGCTTGGAGTGCCACAGTACGAACCCAAAGATTGGAGACTGTTCATTGACAGCAGCAAGCGATCACTGAAATGTGTTCTGCTACACAACGGCAACCAGTTTGCCTCTATACCCCTGGCTCGCTCAAGTACACTGAAGGAGAACTATGAAGCGGTGAAGTATGTGCTGGAGAAAATTGGTTATGATCAGCATAAGTGGTTTATTTGTGTTGACCTGAAGATGGTGAACTTTTTGTTGGGACAACAGTCTGGCTTCACCAAGTACCCATGTTTTCTGTGCATGTGGGATAGTAGGGACTGTGCTCAGCATTACATGAAGAAGGACTGGCCTGTGCGGGAGGAATTGGTGCCTTGCAAAGAAAGGAACATCACCAACGACCCTCTGGTGGACATAGACAGAATACTCTTCCCACCGCTGCACATCAAGCTCGCCTTAATCAAGCAGTTCACCAAGGCTCTGGACAAGGATGGTGACTGCTTCATTTACTTGTGCCAGGCTTTTCCAGGATTGACCATGGAGAAGTTGAAAGCTGGAATCTTTGATGGTCCTCAGATCCGTCAGCTCATCAGAGATCCAGAGTTCGGAAACTCAATGAACGAAGTGG